CCCCCCCAACCCAGCGACTCCGTATACTGCTGCTTCCTGCAAGACAACAGTCTCTATGATATAAATCACAATAATGAAATCCAGATGAAAGCTGGTGTGTGCTGGTTTTGATTCATGTAACAGGATAACGGCAGCATGTTTGAACACACTGGCTCTAAGGCAGCTGTCTCATCTTGCCATGCTGGAGAGCTCAGCTAACTGCCCTTACTCGCAAGAAAAGGAATTGTGCAACTTTATTTTTTTCCCCTTGATTTTTATTTATTTTTTTTTTATGTAGCTGCTGCAGAAGCCCAACTTTGAGCAGGGGGATGCTGTTTGCCCAGCTGGTGCCTATAGAAATGTGTGCGTGTGGGACCCTACCCACTAGAGGGGCCAGCAAAAAAAAAAAGGAAGAATATCTGCTGACAGGTAATTTAAAAGCAATACTGAATTAGTGCCTGTTGAGTGATCGAATCAGTTACTACAGTTCTATCCCTTTCTGACCAGGCACTCGAGCACCCCTCTTGCTGTGTGGCTGGGGCACAGCACCCACAAGGTTACAGAGAAATCATGGTCCCTGATCCTGCTCCTGCCTGGGGAACCTCCTGCACCTCGCAAACAGCTCGGCACCGAGCAGCAACCCCGCTGCCGCTGCCCCTGCCCACCAGAGATGGAGAGGAGGAAACCTCCGGGGTGGCCCAGCGATCCCCAAGGACCAGCTGGGATCAGATGCAGGAGGGCTCCGACCTAACGTCATCCTTTGCTGCCCACTCTCTGCTCCGTTTTTACACTTCTCTTCTCTGTTTTAGGCCATTTCATTGCGCTTGAGCTGCCCGCGAGTCCCAAATGGAGCTGCCACGTTGAGAAGACATGACTGTAAACGGTGTGGATTTTTGTCTGTCTGGAGCAATTCTGGTATTGCCCACGTAGCAGCACCATTCAACACCAATGCCCCAAATTTTATGAAGGGTTTGCAAATATTTCCCTAAAAGTAGCACAGCATTTTTCTATCCAAGCATGCTTTCTAGGACATATTGTTATTCCCTAGTAGGCAGGCACTCTGCACTCCCAGAGCTGTCAGGCACACGAGCGAGGCACTGGGAACCACCAAACCGGCTCTCTCATACTCTAATCTCGAATGTTTGTAACTTCTGTCATCCAGAAATGTCTGTCTTGTTTCTCACAGCTTATTTGCACAAAACACATTTCACTTCGCTATTCAGCGATACTCCTTCGTGAGCTCTGTTCACGTTCTCTGTATACAAATCTGTGCATGTATATTTTAGTTTGGTGATGGAAGTCGCACAAGACAAATGAAAGCCTTGATATATGGTAGCTGACAGATGCCTGGACAACGTGACGAATGCTTCGGCTGAAGTCTGTACTCTGCACGCTTTTTGCATGGCTGGCAGTTTTGAACTTGGAGGTTAGCTCGTGTGTTATCCACGAGCATTTTCAAGCAGCTGCTTTCTCATAGGAAAGCTGTATATATAGTTTCATAAATATGGGAGGAGGGAGGATGCCTGAAATGGTTGGAAAGACTGGCAAGACGAAATATTGTTGAAAATAAATCCTACTTTGGCACGCTACCAGCAAAAGATGATCTAGCCTCAGATGCCTGTATCTCCCGCTTAAGAAGGATAAAATCGGAATAAAATAGGTGACTAGCATAAGGATACACACAGGCTCTCTACAGCTGTCATTACTGGGTACCTCTGATAAATCTACTTCACGGAGAGCAGACAGAAGACTGATACCTTTAACAGAATTTCGGTAGGTCAATGGCAAGTTCTCAACCACGTAACAAATGAAGTCAATGACTCTGCACTGCCTGGCTACCTTACTGCATACCATAGGTGATCAGCTATGTAGCTAGGAACTGTCAGTAACCTAATTCATATATTTACGGCTGAAGATGCATATATATGGGAAATCCTGATAAAGCAGAGGCTTAAAATGGTGACAGAAAATGGGAGTGATTCCTTACTTATAATTAAAAAAAGAATTAAAGTACATGGAAGGATGCCAGTTTATTTTATACAGTTAACACACTGGAATCATTCTCAATTAATGCAGTGTGTTACTGTTACAAAATAGTTCTTTACTGGAATGTCAGCCAAATATAGCAACAAATGCATAGAGCACAGGGTTTAAGTAGGAATATATACTACCATTGTGATCCTCTGCTCCCTGAGACTTTTGGGTACAAGGTCAGCAGCTGATAAAAAAGCAGTCTGGAGATGCTTAATTTACAACTACGGAAGCGGCTCGAAGAATAGGGTGACGGCACCGAGGGACGCTGGCTGCAGCGGAGGACTCCTGACCTCGATGCTCCTTGTGAAAGACAGAACGGGCGAGCGAGAGACCAACGGCGCTGTATCATCACGCAGGGCCTTTGTTAGATTTAAACGGCCAGGGCAGCAAGCGGTTCTAATTTTAAAATCCCACTGGAGGACTAATATTTAGTGAGGCAGCCCAGCTGTGCTTGACACTGGTGCAGGACCTGGCAAAAGCAGGCTGAGGGTCAGCCCACGCTAAGAGCACTGCAGATTTTTGCGACGTGCTTTTTTCGTTAGTGGTGCAGAGATGCCAACTTATTCTGACATAATTAAACCAATACACTGAAATTGTAGCTAAGTACCCATACCAATTTCCAAGCGCATCCCTTTGGGCATGCATAGACGGATATTGCTGGGATGTTATTACAGAAGGGTCACTCAAAGTCAAGATGCTACCGATATGGGCTTTTCCTCTTTTGCTGCAAGTTTTGGCAGGGCGCAAGCAGCCAGCTGAAGACGCTCTTGTGTTTCTGCGCCACCAACAAAAAGCGGGACCGTGGGGGCCATCCGCATGCCCCCTGCAGGGTGAGTTTTCCCCTTCTGCACGGCAGGACTTTGTTTCTGCTGGCAGGAATGCAGGGAGGCCCGGGGGGCACTGAGGAGGTCGGATGTACTCTGGCCAACACAAGACTCGAGCACAGAAATTACTGCTCTGTCTGGTAGATAAAAGTTACCATTCTAGAGAGATCTAAGAATCTGCAAGAATTCCTGTTTTAGCAGTATCAGCCAGGAAGACATCTGTTAACTGTGACATGATGTTTCCCTCCTCCCCCCGCCCCCCAGCACAAAATTCTTCTACCTCTTAGTGTTTATATTGCGGTAGAGATTGTAGACTCTCCTACAAAGCCAACATAATGCAAAATAATTTCTCTGAGGTAGACCAGAAGTTAAATATGACTAACACAATTAATAGAAGCTGTAGAGATTGTGTTGGGGAAGTATTGAAGCTGCTTTTTCAGAATGACCCCCTGACAGGCTGTTTGTGGGTATGACTTTCAGAAATGCGACAGGGAAGTGTACTCCCTTTTTAAGCTAGGAACTTCGCTGTAAAAAAAAAAGACCAAACCGAAAGCACTTCTCCTTCCTTCCCCACGTCTGTCTTCAAGGAGGAAGCTCAGCTACTCCTTGAAAACAGCTGAGGACTTGCAGTTAAAAATCCTCTGCGGGTCAGGACTAATTCAGCCCAGTAAAGTTACAAGACTGTGAAGTCAACATCAGTGATGATAAACTCAGGCTCCACAAAAATGGAGGGAACGGCGTGTCGCATAGGCTCTGGTGCTAACCCCACGTATTTCAGAGTAAAATCCACGCAGGACCACACGTTTTGCCTGTCCTATGCCTCAGGATAAAGCCTGCAGCGTTTACCGATGCAGCATTCACACAGACCTCAACGGAGATTTACTGATGGAGAAATCCTGGCATGCAGAGCACGAGCCGGGCTCCCAGGAGTCATACTGGTGCATGTAGCCCTATTCCGCAGTCAGCGCCTCGCTCCTCCACACTGCCACGAGTTTGCATTCCTCTCGCACACCTTCCCCTTCCCCCCCTCCGTTAATTGCTCCGACATCTATAAGAGGTGGTGGGAGGTGTGTGTGAGACATCTACAAGCTTGCAGCTGCCAAGTGTTAACGCTAAACGCTGGCCAAGTAACGAAACTTTTAATTACAAGCTGCAGCTCTGCACACACAACGAAATGTTCGGGGCTGACATCAGAGCTGCTCTCAGCTGCTCCGGCGCTTGCAAGAGGCAGTAATTACAGTTATACACTGCTCAGGACCAGAGACTGGTTTCAATCTGTGCCCAGCAGCTCTACAGCCCCGCGGTCACTTGGCAGAGGTCTGTCGATACCGCCCGCAATGGCTCTGCTCGGTCAGGAAAAAACCACAGGTTGCTCACTGGCCTCAGACAGCAATTTGCTTTAATTGCAGCATACGACGATTTTTATATTTGGGGAAGAAAATGACTTGAAATTACAGCCTATTATGCTCCCATTCACATGGATGTGAACTGCAGGGAGGGGGAACGCCAGCTGAGTCTGGAAAGTCTAATATGGATGCGAGTGAAGTCTCCTACATGGTCTACATGGCCCTATATTCACCAGCTCAACGCACAAGCCCTCCTTACCCGCAGCCCGAGTTGCAAAATCTTATTTAACCCGCAAGCTCTCAGGATGCTCCAACACTACCTTTTCTCCCACCTCAGGGCCGAAGGAGGCACCAACCCCTTGTGAAATCTCTCAGCTGAGCCCTGAAGAACAACAACCCACTCTTTGGTTTCTTGCAAAGCCGTGCAGCTCCTGTGTGGCATGACAGCTACGCTGCTTCGACCAGGGGCAGGCAAAACCCTCAGACCTCGGACAAGAGAGCTCCTGGCACCTGCCAGTTATTCCCGCCAACAAGAGAACCACAGCACTTAATGTCCTCCAGCCCTTTCTTAGATTAGCGCTTGCCTTCAGAGAGGGAGACGCCAGTGCTGCAGACCCTTGGGCAGTGCTGAAGAAGTGACGGCTGGAAGGCAAATTCAGGCAAAAAAAACCCCCAAAATGTGAAATAAGGCATTTTTCCAGACACAGCAGTAATTAACTCCTAGAGATAATGAAAAAGCAGGGAGGCCCCAGTCAGTGCAGATATATTCTAGACAAATAATGATGATGATTTTAACAACTGCCCTTGAAGTCCGTTTTTCACCTTTAAAGCAGCTATATCACACCTCTGTCACAGTGGAAATCCCCAGTCAGCTCCTTATTGCAATAAAAGTACCTCAAAATGCCGTGGTTAACCAGCACATGGAAAAGAAGGGGGCATCGAACACCCTCCTGATCGGAGACCTCCCCTGACCTATTTTGGCGCTCCCAACCACGTCCATCTCAACACCAAGTTGAAAAGGGATCAAAGACCTCGGGTGATCCTAGAGGACTCAGACTGCCTGGCACACATTCGCAGCCTGAGGAAGGCTGGAAACACAGCCGTGACTGCTAAAGCTATGTTTGCTTCAGATGCCAGGTAACGACATCTTTCCGTTTGAGGGAAGGCAGTTCCCTGTCCGTGACAATAACCATATCAAAACCTAACAAATGTTTTCCCACCCAGAGGTAGCTGCCATAAAAGGTTGGCACTTGGTGTGCTGGCAGCCAAAAAATAACTTGCCAACCCTAAAAGTAAAACTGGCTGAAAGTAAGCAGAGGACATACTGGACTTCCAACTTGAAAATTTAGCGCAAACGCAGCCTCAGAGCTCGATTAAGCCTTTCTGTGCAACAGGCACAACACTCTTGCCAGCAAGGAGTTAAGCTTCAGTCTACATAGAACACATAAAATCCATTTATTTTGAAGAAGTAGCACCTAAGAGCCCTATTATCAAATAAAGACCAGGGTGAGAGGCAGAATAGGTTCTACAAAGATCTAACGTATCTTTACATACGTTAGTAGTTTCTTAAATCGTAGCTCTGTTCCAAGTTAAGTGAGGACATGGACAAGGACAACACTTTAGACCTCAGTGTTTCAAATCCTATCCCGTTTGCATACAGATGAGTACTAGGTCACCACTTCTGAAGGAAAAAAAAAAAGCAGCTTTTCCATGCTGGATGTATAATTCAGACAGATACATGCTCACACGCATGTGACAGCACTGCATCTCGCAGCAGTCCTGCCAAAATTGCACACCAGTCTACAGACTTGGTGCAACCCAAAAAAGGCTACAGGAGTCTCTCACCACAGAAAACACCGAGTTAGAGCACAGATCAAGGAACAGTTACGCGTCTGTATTGTTACGGGTTTGGACATAGTGAAAAACATACAGGCTCTGCTCATAATTGCTGCAATTAAAGGAAGGCCTATCCCATGGTGAAATAAATACCTGGGAAACAAAGGCTCTACTAGACACCGAAGCGCTGTTCCAAGGAGTGAATGATAACCATCAAAACAAAATGCAGCTTCGTGACTTTGGAAAAACCCTAATGGGCATCCTCCTATTTTGTAATAGATGCCAATTAGAGGAAGTATAAATTTTCTCCTGAATGAGAGAGAATGAATGCATTGTTCGAACAAGTCTTTCATCTAAAGCGTTTATGAAATACAGCGGTAATAAAAGCGTTTACTTTTGTAATACCTCCATGAGTTTGTTTTTACATGTCCCAGTAAGTAACTGTCATTTAGAACAAAACATTCCAAACAGCTGCTATTAGTAGATTAAAAATAATAATCATCTTCTCAAAATATGGCCAAATGTAACCTCAACCTTCCAAATATTGTTACCAAAATTTATCTGTGCTGCACCTAATTTTGCATAGCACTTACCATATATGAAGGAAATATTAAAACCCGCTTATGTTTGCCGCATGGCCATTGGGGATCATCTAAAAGATTTGGGTCATATTCAACGAAGTCTCCCAGGTCGCTACCTATAAAATAATGGTAAATACGAGAAAGGAATTAATTACATCAAGAAACCTCTGGACTTAACAGAAGTGGCAATGGTTTGACAGATAATGCACACAAGACAATCGTCATGCAAGATCTCTGAGACAGTCAAAGATTTCTCTACATCTTGAAAACTCTAAGTATTTCAATACTAATACAATTTGCAAAGATATAGAGGACTTACAGCTTATGAATTACCTGATAAATGTGAATTTAGGGTGTACAGAGCTGCAAAATTATATAAAGCTCCACAATGACTTTTATTCTCGGCAAGAAGTTTCATCTGTGTATGCGGATGTTTTGGTTTGTTTCATTTAACATGCCAAAATATCTTAAGCATATAGTGCTTTGGCTTATGTTTTGTGCCCGGTTTTGTAAACACTGCCCTTTCCAGCCCAACAAAGGTCACAAGGATGTTTTACACCTTCAGTTTATGACTACTGTGTTGCCACTGTAAATTTTCCATAGCAAAGGAAGGTAATGATGAGCCTGATGCAGGAGGAACAAGCAATGCCGGTGACAGGAGGAGGCAAGCCGAGTGCCATCAGGGGCTGGCGATACGACCAGCAGACTTATTTACTTAACTTCCCATCATCTGTAAGCCAGCTTTGCTAAACAAACAGGGAATGAGCTGTTTCACCCATGACACGAGACTATATTTTGCTTAATTTAAGCAAAAAAGGGGGCCAAAACACAACGTATGTCCATCCTTCACAATAACTGCCTATCACCAGGGTACCCAAGGGTATTAAAACAAGCTTCTTGAGAAGTTACCTGCATCAATGCTCCCCTGGGTGCTGTTAGCTCTTGCCAAAGAAAGGCTACGATGGCTTGCATTGCGAAATTGGGAGAAGGATGAGGTGGAGTCTATCGTGTTCCTCCGAGTTCCCAGAGCATTGGTGGGAAACAGGAACTGCGTATAAGAAACCGTCTAAAAAGAAAGTCAGAATGGACAGGCAGTTACTATCAGCCCAGCTCAGCTGCAGCGGGATGCCTTCGGTGCATCCCAATTGGAAGCAAGAGAAGCCAAATTAGCAGAGGATTTTCTGGATTTAATAGTTAGGCACAGATGAATAAACACCAGTCACCTACATTTGCTTCCGTGCAGCCAGTTTATCCATGCAAAAAAAAACCTTTTGCAAAGGCATTAATTCTTCAACAGAACCACAAACACACACACACAAGCCCTAATACACTGGATTTACAAAATCCTACTCAAGGGTCAGATTTAAAAATCTGTCAGTTTGGTCAGGTTGGTTTTTTTTGGTTGTTTTTTTTCACTGGGCCTTCTCTGTAGCAGGTTTCAGCTCCTTCTTTACTGAAACAGCATCATCTAGATGGGTCCCTCAGCACAGCGCAGCCAGAGGCAAATCACTTCAACGCTGCTAAACTTAAGCAATTTCTCCGGTATTTTGTCCTTTAGGATTTTGTCTGGCAGAGTCCTATTGGTGTTGTAAGTGAGCTACCAGTTTACAGCAATGGTTGTGGGAGATCATTTACTACCTCCTCACATGGACTCAGTGTGAATGAATAACTTGTGACAAAATATTTTTAGAGTGTACCAATTCTGTGCTTTCACCCTTGGCCTTACTTCTCATAGGTTTATTTTCCAAAAATAACATTATATTGAAGAAAAAAAAAAAAAGAGTCTCAGACTCTAGACTGGTTTACGAGGAGGTCAGAACAGGTATCAAATAAATCATGTGAGCTTTCATTTATTTATAAGCAGACAGATTGTCCTCAGGAATTTACAGCCGGTGGTCTGGCCTGACACCTGCTTAGGTGAGCACACCGTGTGTAGCAGCATTGACCTAGGGCCTCTAAATCCATAAATGACAGCAGACTGGGTAAACTGAAATGTAAAAAGTAAACCAAACTTTCAGCAAAGAATGTTTTAATTTATGATAAAAATTGTCTCTCCTCTGTATACTTGTTTAAAACGGATCGCTCTCCCTACAGATTTGTAATTGCTTATTCTATTCAAGTGAATGTACTCTTGGAGTTTGAAATACTCGTCAGATTTGTACTACTATCTTCCTGCTCTTTAGAAAAATATACTGTTAAGCAAAATTTATTTTATTAAATAAAATCGAGAGCAAATGGAATTACAGCTTACAACTCTCACCAGAAATTATTTTCAAGCATCTGACAACACACTCTGCAGTGATACCTCCTGTTAGAGCCAGGGGAAGGCTGCGTGATTCAGTAATGCTTTGCAGACTCGGATGTTGCCACAGGCAAATTTCTTCAAGGAAAGAGAGTTCCTTGCATTGACAGCTTGGGCAGTCCTCCCGAATTTCAGTTTGCACATGCTGTGCTTTAACTATTGTGTTACACTGCACGTTATAATTTATTTTTGTATCTGTGCTTGTTATTAGTTACAAAATTTTTTCACTTATTACAAAAATCTAACGGAGTAGGAACTGAAGCATCCCCACCTTCCCATCTGCTCCGAGCTCCACACCTTCAAGACCAATTATCTCTTTGAGACACACTCCGGTAGAATGGCACTGGCGTCCACCATCCAGCTTCATATCCCTGGGGAACAGAAACCAGAGCAGAAACAACTCTTAATACACACACCTTGTTTACCTTCCACCACCCAATGCTGAGAAAATAAGGCATAGCAGCATTAATCCAAACATGCCAATGCAAAGCACAGATCAGACAACTTTTCCTACAGGCAGCACTTGTGTTCTCTAAAATACATTACAGAGAAAATCCAGGTTGCACCTCATACCCCACCTATGGTGTAGAGCAAGGTTCCCCATCACTGGGTGCTTTTGACAGAACCTGGCACTGGGAAGGAACTGGAAGTCATATACACTTCAGGTGAGACCCAACAATCTAGCTTGAACACTTGACTGCCATGTATCCAGTAAATGGACGCTCCCAGAGTACGTCTCCACATCCCCCCGTGCCGTCAGAGAGAGGTAATTGCCTGTGAAAGACTCTGGGAGGGATTTCTGCTCCTCCAAGCGCAGGAGCGCCCAACGCCCAGTGACCCTCCTGCTGGAGGCCAGCAGGAGAAACCCAGGTCTCCACCGCCTTGGGATGGAAACTAGGGGACCTACTTTAGGAGGACTGACGTGTTTGCCATCTTACACTTGGAGGTAAATGAGATGCCCGATGCAGGCTGTATCCCACGCTTTAGCCTCACAATCAAAATACGAATGAAGTTAAAACAGACTATAGGCAAATTTAGGCTTTGCAAATGACAGCTGTATACTCTCCAGAGTATTTATCTCTCAATATTTTCCTGGCTGGTTTCTGCTGAGGTCCAAGTATGTGCTTAAAAATCTGTCGGAGAGACGCTGACACTGAGGCAGGGAGAAGCCCTGCAGGCTCCTCACCCCGTTGCAGGGCTGGGCAATCTCCTACTGTGTCTCTGCACACCCCGTTGCTGCATCTTCCCTTTCCAACCTGTCACTCATTTTATTTCTCCGAGATATGGCAACCAGTGAGTCCCCAGTAAATCATGTTCCTTACTGCTGGAAAAATCCAACACGTCCATCTGCTAGGGAACGTACTTCTGTGACAAAGGAAAAGACTGTATCAAGTTTCTAATCCCAACAAAACCCTCTTAGTTTCTTGACTGGGGTTCATTTAGCGCGGTGTCGCATCGTCATTCTTGTTTCCTCATATCGTGTTACTTAGGGGCTGGACAAATAATTATGTAAAAATAACCCTCTGTCAGAGGCATGGGATTAGCCACCCTGCTCTTCTGCAGAACATGCTTAAAGGAACTATTTCTCATTGAGAAAAATGCCAAATAGTAACCATTTCAGCAGGTCTTATCCAAGAAACAAACACACAACTTGAGGAAGCCCCCAAGCCCAAAAATGAGAACAAAAATCTGAGTTACCTGAAATAATATACGAACAGTTTCGTCTCGTTCCACTCAAAAGACACCTTACAGACGCAGAGAAAGGAATAATGCCACGACAACTTTAAAAACAAAGCATGGAGAAATTTCTCCAGGCAATTAACAGACAAGGATAGATAACTCTAATTCATCAAATGAAAATCCAGCACCCTTTGAACAGTCAGCACAGTGGCTTTTAAAAACCAAAAGCAGCTCTGGGGACTGAAGAGAAATCAGTGCTCTGGGAGCAGGGATCAGAGTCAGCTGGCAAGTGTGAGCACACACATGAATGATCCCTGGACATTAGCAGATTGGCGGACGTTAAGGCCTCCATTTGCCCCATCTTTCTGATGTTTCTAAAGAAGACTCTATCTTCAGGACCCTGTAAACAACAGTGTAGTTACTGTCCCTTATCCTGAGTAGCAAGGGCAACTTGAGTCTCCTGCTCCTCTACATAGGCTCCATATTTTTAGGTAGTATATGATTGCTTTTGTTGTAAAACCGAGTAATAAAATCTTACTGTTTGGAGAGAAACCTGTCCATAAAACAGAGAATTAAACTCCCCCTCTTGAGGAAAATCAGAGCTAAACAATGCACAGTTTTTTATTAATGTATAAATCGAAAGGCTCATTCTAGTTTGTGCTCATCCTCCTCTTGCTGGTAAAAGATCTCGCTTAATGTGAAAGATTTCGCTTAATGTGAAAGATTTCTCTTAATGTGAAATCCCTAGGTGACTTTACCTTATCCTTTTTGAGTTCCTTATTACTACAAGCAACATGAAACTAGTCAAGTCTGTGTAGGACAACGCTTCATTTTTTCCTTCCCTCCTGTTACAGACAAGTAAGTCCACAAATGCCTCAGCAAGCCCCGGGGCTGCCACCCCGCAGCTGGGGGAGCCCCAGCACAGCTGCTTCCTCCCCACATCCCCAAAATTCCAAGAGCAACTAGGAAAGACCTGGGGGATGCCTCTGCTTTGCCATCTGCAAACGGGTGAGTCGTGCCTGGGAAACAGTCAGGGTGGTTGTTTGGGTACAGCCACCGCACCAGTGTTGCAAACCACTGTGTTTTAAGTTATTTAGATTACTGATGGGACTGAGGACCTGCACAAACCAATATCCGATAATAAAGGCGTTTACAAAATGCAGAGTAGGATAGATGATCCTTGCCAAAGAGGCTTTTAAGTGAAGAAAGCTTCCTCCTCTTCCTCATTTTTGGTTTTCCTGTTTTCCAAAAGTGCTTTTTAACAAAATTTTCTAAGGACAGACATCGAAAAGCAAAAATAAATCATGGTAACTTAATTTTACTACCTTCGCTTTATTTGACCAGGAAAACCTAAGGAAATGAGACAATCAGGGATGATATTTCCTTAGGAGGCAAAAAACCCAGATCCCAGTTTCTGACAAAGTTTGGGAATTTACCCTGATTTACATCAATGTCAAGCTCTAGATATTGTATCCATGCATACCATTTCCAGAAAGCTGTGCAGAACTACACTCAAAACTAAGCATATTGCTTTAGTTATCCAGCACTGCAGAAAAAATCTACAGTTTCTCCACCTAAAAGAGTTCACAGATTTTCTTGGGGTAGTACCAGGTGAGTTGGGATCCCAAATCTGTTGTGGGACAGTGAGAAGTTTTACTGAGCAGGTAGATAAGAATCAAAACAGGAAATTGCACTCTTATCTTTTATTAGTCAGGCCAGGATTAACAGAATATAAATTGGATGCTATTACCTTTGGAAGTATAACATTTCTTTAATCAAATGTTACGCTTTGACGTGATCTACAAAGCCCCATGCAAGACTCCTGCTGGGCACTTGCTCTTTAAATGACAGCAACAGTTGAACACTTTAACCTGTGAATAATTTAGGGTCCATTAAATATTAAATAGATTTCTAGATACATGAAAAAGCCTTCTTGTTGCAAAAAGGAATCTGGTAATTGTTATTTAGAGACGTAAGCCTTTTGTGTCTATATTTTATGCTTAGTGATTCCTGACTGTGAAGATCTATTCCAAAAGCAAAGGCAGTTCACGAGACACCAAGAAAAGATACTGTTCTTATCCATCACTGTAAATACTTTCTAATCGTCTCTGTTTATAGGGACAAGGACAATGACAGCTTTTGAAAAGATGTGCTGCCAGCCAGTCCAGCGGCAGATCTCCTGCTGCCTGAGACTGCTTGTTTTAATTGATCGAGAGCTTTCAGCTCCTAATTGCCATTAGTGTTTCTAGAACAACAACTCCAGAAGCGATTTACAGGGAGAGCAGGTGGAAAAACTCCTGGAAAGATGGCTCTAATGGGCCAGTATCCTTTTTCTTTCTCCAAACATATTCAGGTGTCAGTATGTCAGCTCTTGCCCTGATGTTTTGCCCTCACAGAATAAAAGTTCAAAATTTAAACCTATTAGCTTTTGGAGATTCATTGCTTAATTTCAATCTAAGGAAACAGGGCAACTCACAAAAATGAGTAATAGTGGCTCTATAAATTTCATACGAGATGATTAGTTTTGAAATGTCCTGTTGTGGGAATAAACCCCTCAGATTTATGTGTCTTTCTGTGAAGCCAATATGCGCTTGGTTTTGGTTTTTTGTTCAATTTTGGAGAAGCAGGGAAAATGAGCAATGGTAAAGAAAAGCAGGGGTATTTCAGTTTCCCTATTATCGGCTAAAAACAGATAGTTATTCTTCCCCAGGCCTACGGAATGATAAACGCTCAGGAAAAGCACTTGAGATTGATGACTTAATCAAAATTGCCTCGCATACAAAATTCCATTGAGGAAGAATAGCAAGGAACTTGGTAGCAAATCTGAAGGATGTAAGAGACTATCCCGCTTCGCTGTGTGCTTATTGCTACTATCCTTATGGCAATTTAGGTGCTCTCATTTCTCCTGTAAATATTCCCCTGTTTTCCACACTCATTGCAATGCTTGTTACCTGACCTGCCAAATAACTGGCAGCAGGGGTGCGGCGTGCAAGACGACCTCACCTAAATGCTTCTTTTTGCCTCATTTTATGGACGACTTTCTTAGCCAGTTTAAACACTGAAAATGAACAAAGATTTCAGAGTTTAGGTAACGAAGGCCGTTGGGAATGCCTGGCCTGTGGACTTACTGATGGTTGTGGCTACATGTTACTTGGGGTGATGGTATTGAAAACCTCTTGCTCTCAGCATCATTGAACTCATCAGTGTTCTGGCCAGCATTTAGTTAAATTCAAAGTTAAATTCAGCAGTGATTTATCTTTAGAAACTGGATGAAGCTGGTTTGTAGCTTTTCTGAGAAGGACACAAATTCTTTTTCTCTAATGACTTACTGCTTTACTTCAGAAGAATGGTTCGTTTCCTGGGCTTCGGTCCATTTGATTATTCATATCACATTATTTCTCTTAACTGGAGGCAAGTTTAGTCAGATGAATACCTATATTCTTGTCAAGACAGCAATATTCAGCAGCTATGCCTGCTGCAGGTAAGTTTCTAACCACTTAATGAGTTCAATGCCATGAAGAATAAAAGATTAAGTGAACTGGCTGCTTTTATAAGGACATGCACTATCTGATGCTCTGGGGTTTCTGTCCTGTAGCTCATGACCTCCAGCCCCAGTGGCAGTCAGTCACTGCGAGCCCAGCGGCTGAGTCGGACGTAAGACCAGCCGTGGTCCAGTGCCGCATCCTTGCGA